AAACGAAAACAGACAGTCTCTTGGGAAGGGGTAAATTGGGAGTTCGAGATTTGCAGATACTAACTACTATATATAAAATAGATAAGCAACAAGTTTCTACTGTCTAGCACGGGGAGCTATATTCAATCTCGTAGTAACCGAATGAAAAAAGAGCATGAAAAGGAATATATGTATGTATATGTAAGACTGAGACATTATTCTCTACACCAGAAATTGACAGAGCATTGTAAACTGACTACACTTCAGTTTTTTTTTTTAAATGCAGAGTCTTGCCTCCTTTTCTCAAGTATTTAAATAAGTTGTTTGAATTATTCAAGTAGTATTTTGTTTGTAAAGGTTTGTTTTGAAACGAGCGTGGTGCCTGGATTCCAGCACCTCCCCAGCAGAACCTCGCTGTCCGGAGGCCCCACTTTGAGCCCTGACTTGGGGGTCTGACCCCCTGCATTTCTAAACACTCTGCTTGTACAGCTTTGGCTGCTGTTCCAGTCTTAGAGATCCACATTTAACCTCCTACCCTGCAGAGGAAAAGCTCCACGCAGACACACGGTTTCTCAGATCGTCTGAGAGCAGGTTCAGTCCTGGCTGGGAAAAAAAAAATTAGGACTTGAATGCAGAAGAATCGTGCGGGTAGAGGGCACGGGGAGCGGGCTCCGGTCTGAATTGCTGGTTGCCATCCAGCCGTCTCTCTTTACTCCATCCCCGGGAGTCCTCTTCTCGGGGGTGGATTCCCCATCTCCATCCTTGTGACCACCTTCCTGAGAAGGGGGTGCATGGGAGGTACGTTCGGGATTCTGTAGGTCTTCAAATGCCCCTTGTTCATCCCAGAATGAAGGCTGAGTATGGAATTCTAAGCTGGACGTTATTTAACATTCATTTTTTTTGAATCAAGGCCCTTTTCCATGCTCTTCTGGTCCCCAATGTCGCAGAAGATATAAGCCATGGTGATTCTTATACCTTTCTAAGTGACCTTTTTTTCTTTCTCTTTGAAAAACCATTGGAATTCTCTCTCTATGCTCATCGCTCTGAGTTCTGACAATGAGGTGTCTTTAGACAGATGATTATTGCCGGGTCCTCAGCCCATTCTTTCAGACTGGGAGTGCCACTTCCTTGAGTTCTAGAATGTTTTCTCTTTCCTCTTTGTCCAGAACTCTTATTCAGGTGGTGGCTCTCCTGACTGCTTCTGTCTGAACCCCATCGGGGAGTTTCCTAGTTCAGATTCTCCAGAAAAAAAACAGGATATGCCCAGCCAGCTCTCTAGTTGAGACAAGTCGAATTAGTCATGCATTGCAGACCAGCCAACGAACCCTCTTCTCTTGGGTTCACCTCGGCTGATCTGCTTTGGGTCACGTGACACAGAGCGGCCACTCCGAGAGTTCCATGAGCACGAGGGCAGGCATTTGGGAACAGGCTTACTTCATTAAAATAGAGCTAATTGCTAATATTCTTTGTGGCTGAATCTTATGTCGAGTAATAGATTCTGGGCTAGGCAATATGGTTCTAGTCTTTTTATTTATTTATTTTTTGCCTAGTAAATTGCAAAAATATCTTCAGTATAATATGTTATTCGTTAGTCTTTAGATGTAAATTCCAGATGGAACAAAGATTTAAGTGAAGAAAGAAAGAGAAAAAGAAAGTGTAGATGTATGACTGCAACATTATGCCGTTCACCAGAAATGGACACGACATTGTAAACCAACTATACTTCAATTAAAAAAAATTAAACTGGAAGAAAATAATCTATAATGGAAAAGAATCTAAAGCTATACACCTAGAACTAATACAAAACTGTAAATCAACTATTGTTTAATAAGTAAAATTATTTTTAAAAAAGAAAGAAGAAAAGTATAAATATACCAAAAGAAACATGGATAATATTTTTCAAACCATGGTGTTTGAAAGGTCTTACTAAGAGTTGACAATGAGAATAGAGACCATAAAAGCAAAGAATAATAAATTTAACTATGTAAACATTGTAAACTTTTATTGAAGCTTATTGAAGTTGAAAAAAGTCCCCCAAAATGTAGAAAATACTAGAGGAAATTTTGTAACACTCAACAAACAGTTAGTATCCTTAAAATATAAAGAGCGCTTTGAAAACAATAGGAAAGTTTCATAGAAGAATTGACAAAGCCGGATAGGCATTTCATCAAAGAGGAAATAGTGCAATTGAGAAGAGAAATTCAACCTCACGTCATAAAAGAAATGGAAAGGAAAAGCAACATTGTGTTGCCAAAGATGAAAATGGGTGATAAAAATGTATGGACAAAGAGGGAAAAGTGTCCCCTTGTGTAATCTGGGTGGGAATGTAAGTTGATGTGTAATTTTTAGGAAAATAATTAATATAATCCTTCTATATTATGTCAAAATAAACATTCCAACTTGTTTTTCGGCAATGACACTTCTAGGGATTTGAGATAAGAAATAAGTACCCGTGTGAAAATATGTGCACATAGATGATGCACGCTGTGGTATTTATGAGAAGGAAAAAAATGAAAGTCAACCAAGCTGAGGTCCATTAAGGACTGATGGGGGAAAAGCTGGTACATAAAAGTAACAGAACCTTATGTTGACAGAGGTGGTGATGTCAATCCATATTTACTGGCTTGGAACGATATCTACGCTACATGGTGGATGGAACGCAACAGTTAATAAGGTACAAGTTTAGAATGATCCTATTACTATAAGTCTAGGTGTATTTCAGGGAAGCTAAGCGTCTCTGGAATGTAAGTTCCACGAGGTCAGGGCCTTCATGATCTTCACTGCTCTGTTCCCGGTGCCTAGAACTGTGCCTGGTCCTGTGCAGCCATGCGGTAATGCTTGTTGAATGAATGAATAAAAGCGGTTTAGAAAGTTCTTAAGCAAAAGTTTAACACGGTGGAGGGCTAGTAATTTTTTTCGGTGCTCTTTATATTTTCTCTGCCATTTGAGTTGTCTTCAGAATGCTTATTTTATTTCTACCCAAACAAATACACGATATTTAAAACGTGGGGTAACACCTATAGCTGGTGAGCACAGGGCACTCCCAAATGTTCCAGTGGCTGTGTGAACTGGTTGAACTCTTTTGGAAAACTATTTGATAGTCTATATCTGAAGATTACAAAAACGTTCCTTCCTCGTTCCTGCCTGGGAATTTATGCAAAGAAAAAAATTGCAAAATATGAAATGATCTGTGCATGCTAAGGTGCTCATGTCAGTTTTTTTAATCAGGAAAAGAACAATCCCAGGCAGCCTAAAGGCGACTTCTAATGGAGGGAGGAGTAAAAGTAAATTACAGAAATCCACTACTTGGAATTCCATGTAACCGTTACCAGTTATGAAGACTTCGTTGCAGCATGAACAAAAGGAGGCTGAAAATGCAGGCACAGAAATGATTTAAATTATTCATCAAGTGATGATGCTGTTGCATTAAGACTGGGGATTTCTGGGAGCTGTTTTCTGAGAAGAGTGGAAACAACGTGCATTTGAGAGCTGCAGACAGAGGTTTCTACTCAGACATAGCTATCACATAACCTTGGTTGATCATACGCCCTCACTTCTTTGTGCCTCAGTTGTCCTACCTGCAAGATGGGCTAATAGTACAACCTCCTAATATTAAGAGGATTAAAATGAGATGTATATGAAAGTAAAGGCCATCACAGATGTGGAGAACAAACCAGTGGGGAGAGGGGAGGCGGGAGGGACAAGACAGGGAGAAGGAGGTGCAGACTACTATGTGTAAAGTAAAAAAGCTTCAAGGATATATTGTACAGCACGGGGAATATAGCCAGTATTTTATAATAAGTATGAATGGAGTATAACCTTTAAAATTTGTGAATCACTATATTGTACACCTGTAACTTGCATACTATTGTACAGCAAATATACTACAATTAAAAACTTTTAAAAAAAAAAGTAAAAAGCCAGGCAAAGAGTAAGAAGTAGACAAATGTGGTAGTTTTTATTTTTTATTCTTCCCGTTGTTATTATTATAATATTGTCCAAATTCTCAAAAGATGGTCAGCCCCTATTACAAACGGAATGAAAAATAAAATAGCTAAGAAGAGAGAGAGGAAAAGGCTCAGGATATGGAACTTTGGAGTTGGGCTCGCCAAGGGCGAGGGGAAACCGCCGGTGACCACACGAGGGCGCCCGCGCTCAGGCCGGGTGACGCGTTCCCGGGCGTGTCCAGCAGGGGACGCTGCTGGCGGAGGCGGACCCGGGGCCGGAAGCCGGGCCGGAGACATCCGGGCGCACTCACGGACTCCTCCCACTC